GGTTTGAGTGTTGGACTATGACCCTGGAGACCAGGGTTTGAATCCCCACTTGGCTATGGAAACCCACTGGGTGACCTTGGTCACATGCTCTCAGCCTCAGGGGAAGGTCATGGCAAACCTCTTCTGAAGAAAGTGTGCCATAAAAACCCCACAATGGGTTTACTATAGGGTCCTCAGAAGTCAGAAATGACTTGAATGCACACAACAACAACAACAACAACACATTTTTAGTGCAATTGCATGTCATCATCATCATCATCATTCATTTCTTACCCATTTCTCCCAACGGATCAAGGTGAGAAACAAACATAAATAACGAAACATAACACATGACATCAGTTTAAAAAGCATATAAAACCAACACATATTAAAATCAACCAATAAATACTAGAATTCATAATTTAGAACTCATCTGGATAAGTCTGCTGGAGGAAACAGGTATTTATTGCTGTTTTAAACTCAGACAGCATCTCCATCTCTTCTGGCAGGTCATTCTACAATCTGGGGGCGGCTGAAGAAAATGTCCTCTGGGGAACACTTTCAGGCTATTACAATAACATCTAAAATCCATAAAAGAGCAATACCCTTATTAAGTCAACCAAAATGCACAAAATGCAAGCTTTGAAGAAAGTAGTGGAACTTTGAAATAATGTATTTTGTGCATTTTGGATGGCCCAATAAATATAATGTATTTTGTGCATTTTAGACGGCCCAATAAATCCCAATGTTTTGTGGATTTTGAATGTTATTGTACTTTGCTCTATCACCAATATGGCTACTGCTGGATATGTTCTCAGTCTAGTTTTTGTTGACTGAAGTAAACATCCCTCAGAGGACCTGAATATATGTATGGGCTGATTATACAGGAGAAGGCAATCCTGTAGGTAACCTAGACCTAAACCATGTATTGCTCTAATGGCAATAACCAACACCTTGGGCATTGCCTGGAAACTACGGTAATTATTGCACAAAATTGACCAATGTGGCTTAATCAGTAGTGCAGTGAAGGAACTGCATGCATAACGCAACCATTGCATGGCTACTTGACCCTACACTGACAGCCACACAAACCAAGTCAACTCACATCTGCTACATGATGCAGACCCACTCAGGGAAATGTGCCTTTCATATGCAATCGAAAGACCTCTTCCCTGTGTCAGAGGCCTCCCTCTGAGATTGAGAGGAAAGAGAAGAGAGAGTGGCTACTTACCCAGCTGGCTGTGCCTCTGAACATAGCCTAGCACTGCTGCTGCTGCAAGGAGCACCCAGCATCCTGCCGACACAGGGAAAGCCATCTGTGGGAAGAACAGACACAAAGAGATCAGTGGACAAAAAGTAGAAGATGAGGCAGTGGACAGCAGATTGCAGAAGGAGGGATGCAACGCAGTCTAATGGCTTCTATGTTAGCAAGGAGGTTGAATCTAATAGGACCCGGAACAACAGATGCAAGCTGCAGGAAAAGAGATTCCACCTCAACATTAGGAGGAACTTCCTGACAGTGGAACACGCTCCCTCAGAGATTATGGTGGAGCCTCCTTCTTTGGAGGTCTTCAGAGGCTGGATGGTCATCTGTCAGGGATGCTTTGATTTTGAGTTCCTGGGGGCAGAGGGTTGGACTGGATGGCCCTTGGGAGTCTCTTCCAACTCTATGATTCTACAATTCTACTTTGTACTTGAATCATAGAATTACAGAGTTGGAAGAGACCACCCAAGGGGCATCCAGTTCAATCCCATTCTGCCATGCAGGAATACATAACCAAAGCCCTGCCTGTGATAAATGGCCATCGATCCTCTGTCTGAAAACCTCCAAAGAAGGAGACTCTGAGACAGTGTCTTCTATTGTTGAATGGCTCTTGCCACAAGGAAGTTCTTTCTAATGTTGAGACGGAATTTCTTTTCCTGTGTCTTGAATCCATTGCTCCGTGTCCTATTCTCTGGAGCAGCAGAAAACAAGCTTGCTCCATCTTCAATATGACACCCCTTCAAATATTTCAATCTTCAAAAGTTCAGAATCTCCAACTCCCCAAATGGGTCTGGCACCTTGGGTACTCCTTTGAAGGTAGGGCTAAAATGGGGTTCCCTCAAAATGAGTCTCCTCTGACAGAGTATGGAGGGGGTGCAGCAATAAGAGTATTTGATTCTGGTGATACTGAGAAAGAACAAACTGCTGAAAACCACAACAGCAAGCAAGAACAACAGCCATGATTCTTTCTTCATTATTCACATAGCAAGCCAGAGGTGGGGCAAGTGGGGCTTGTGGGCACAAGCAGTTTGTGAACCCACCTACTCCACTGCTGTGGCCACAGAGCATCCTGAATCCCCCAAAGGTCCCAGAACTATAGGTTTCTGTGGATTTTTAGGGCTGTGAGGCCATGTTCTAGAAGAATGTATTCCTGATGATTTACCTGCATCTATGGCTGGCATCTTCAGAGAATGGTGGCATGGAGGTGT